AAATGGTGGCAATGTAACAGTAAGATACCGAAGTGCACACAACAAGGGAGCCGACGCGGGTGCAGGGCTTGACGACCAAAGCGCATGCGGGCGCTACGAACTGTTGAAATACTTACACACCAACGGCACGCGGCCTGGATGTGGCGCTTACTGGCGCCGCTTCTCATCCAGCGCGTATCGGACAACCGCACTTTGCTGCTACTGCAGTTTCTCCTTATCTTCTGCTAGACATATCTATTGGATAAAAAAGAGAAAATAGAGAGGTGTTGACAAGGTGAAGCTTTAGCCGCGAGCTCGGCTGTAGCCTCGATCACGGTGGGGCTCGAACCCACATGGAAATAGGTCACCTGGGCCGAATCTAAAATATAGACACCTTATCCATGTCCATCGCGCCATCCACCGCCACCAGTTCCACGACCACCGCCGCCGCACTGGCTTCACCTCTGGCCTAACCGCACCTTTGCTCCTTGCCATATACAGATTCGCAAGAAATTTGCCTCAGGCACCCGCCAGTAATCGCAGCTCTTGAAGGTACTCAACTCCGGCAGTAGCAGCAGCAGCAGCAGCAGCAGCAGGACCATCATGTTGATTGCAGGACCAGGTTCATGCGGACATACAGTGAGAAACAAGCGGGGAGGGCGTGTGTGTGGACAAGTCAGCGTGTGATGTGTCTATTACCGGCTCATTGTGGTTACAGTATTTCCGCCGCCGACGCGGCGGGTGCCCTCACGAGCCGTGAGGCTCCAGAGCACGCTGTTGACGCTCATCAAAAACCTCAGTAAGGAAAGTAGCGATTTTCCTCGGATTGGTATTAAGAAATACCTTGCGCATATCAGTATCTTCAACGTTAATCAGAAACCTATTACGCAACTCAGTATACGCCTCACACTCCATGAGCACATGATATTCATCCTCAACCTTACCCGACGTACAGACCTGACACGTACGGCACTCTCTCGGCCTATGGTGTCCTTTGTTGACCTCCAAAGGCCAACAACAAAGACGGAATTTGGCAACCATACGCAACTGGTTGACCGGCAAATAAACACGCAAATAGCCTGTGGGATCGGAGCCCTCTCTTGCTGGTGAAGGGGAGCCCATCCAGTTATGATACCTGCAAAGCGAAACCCCTTTACCTTGGAACACACGCGGATCACCCCCTTGGCTGAACTGATCCCAGTCACTTAAAAGGAACGCAGATAACCTCTCCAGAACCTCACCCA